GTCTTTTAAAGAATTATGCATACATTGACCATTGTTATTTAGATAAACTACGCCATAATAAAAATCGGTCAGTTGCTGACTTGTGTCATTGTGTTAAACAAACTCGTTTTTATTTTCATCAAAACTTAACGTAATTGGAGTATCAGTTATGCTACATGTGCTACATGCAAACTTGTTCTTTATAAACAATACGTCGTCAAATTTCAGTACAAGGAACAACAGATTTTACCTGTTTTAATTGCATAATCGAAAACCTTAACTAAAAGATCTCGCTATGCAATCTCATTTGACTGCATCTTTGAGCATGCGGATTTCGCCATTTTTTTTTCTTCAAGAACACGTCATAGCTATAATTTTTCTCTCTAGCTTGCGAGTACTAGAAATAGGTCTGCTCAACTTCCCCCGACGTATTCTACGAATTATTATTCAACCTCCTTTGCTTCATTTGTAAAGATTCACAACAATTCTTGTAAAGATAAGCCGTTCTGAGTAATCTGCTTGATTTTCTCGCCTATTTCCGACATGTACCGTCAAAATTAGCACAGCCTACACGCGCGAAATTTGAAATTCGCTACGAAGTTGGCCGAGGTCAACATTGGCCGCGATTACGGCAGAGATATCTGTATGTGTCAGAGTCGGTTAGCTCATAATAAATATAGTGTACTGGTCAAGTGCAAACGGGATACCGGATCCCACAGCAGTATAAGGAAGGAAAAATCATATATAATACTTCAACAAATCTTTCGATCAATGGCAATGAAGTATCATCTTCGAATGAAGGTTAGAATGAAGAAAAGGTTATTATTGATGGTGCAATGTTAATCATAATGATGCATACATACCAATTACTTAATATAGGCATCTACTCTATATTTTTCTAATCTGCGACACGGTTGCTCACTGATTGTAGTCGTGGTAATTAATTAAAAAAAAATGGCTTTAGAATTGCTCTATATACTGTGACCAACATGTTACAAAACTAATCATAAGTCGTGCTCAGCGCAGAGAACAATAACTATCATGCACATGTAAATGTTTACCAATTCGCCAGGAGGATAAAGCGCGAAACTCCAAAAGAAAATGGCACTATTGAGTTGAGCGGCAGATCTAGGCGCGCCTTTCCAGACATTACTTTAGCACCCGATTTTCTCCTGTAGTTTTACTGTCGTATAATATTAAAGCTCTTGATTTTCACAATCGTTCTGTGTGATCTTCATTAAGATAAAACTGTGATATTTTATTAATATCAACTTTACGCTCCAAGTAATTAAAAATAGCATTCTCGGCATATTCTTTACTTCGCGTTTCGTTGAGGACTACAATTTATTTGACACGTTACGAAATAGCCATACTAAGTGTTTCGATCGGTAGGGAAGGTAAGCGGTCATTAGAGGGCACTTATAGTTCACCTACGTGCAACAAAAATATTGTTTACCCCACTTGCCAACCGAAAACAACAAGGGAAGACTTAGAGGTTACAGCTTCAATTGGTTAAACGAGGAAAAGACGACCCGAAAAGTGATGGGCAAGATGACCTCTAGACAGAAAAAGCAAATTTAAGGCCATAAAAACGGGAAACGATATATTTTCTGTTGAATGGAAGTGTATTAGTTCTCCGTTCAATTTAATCTTTGGGCTACAGGGAACAGTGTTTCGAGTAACTTTAATCGCTTTGGTCAGTCGTGGCTACTAGAGGTGTTGGACACATCACCAACAAGTGTTTGGAAATTCCATCGGATCAAGGACGCCACGTCATCTCTGAATCATGAACATTTCCTACAACTCAAATATAAATCGCAGTAGTAATAGTAATAATGTTCGACTGATGTCAATGAGACATTTGACATCCAGTATAATACAGCCGTTCTTAAGGAGCACAATGGTTACCTTCTTATTTTCTATAACAGTCGCTTATGTACCAAAGACTCGACTTCGCTTTGAAATCACTCAGACGTTTATTACTGATGGTGTCCACTACAGTACTTGATGGTTTTTGCTGAGAGGAAGCTTTGTCTCGAATGCCGAACAACCGACCGGAACGGCGAATCCGGTACATTTTGTGAGAGAGAGGGTTTCCTGTGACGTGGCGACCCATAGCTCAAAATCAGTTATCCTATTTTATTGAGTGCGAGTGATGACATATAAAAATCGGTCAATTAGAAATCAGTCTCCAATATCCTTATTTTTATATTTCTCCATATTGATAACTATTTTCGCATCGTGCTGCATTTATGGAGCGAGAAGAGAGTTAATTATAAAAAAAAAATCGAAAGATAGCAAATCCTTATCTGCAGGGCAATGGGAGAAACAATCAGCTGTGTGTGGATTCGTCCATTGTGCACAAGGTTCTAGGATTGTGGGGGCGAGATAATTAATGTATTACTGTTAATGGGAGTGGTCTTCCACAGATCAGTTCTCAGCGTACCGCCCTAGTAGGAGGTCTTTGTTCAGATTTAGTCTTGAAAGCGCGTAGAAAAAACTGAACCGTTGTATTTTAATTATTCTTCTTACTGGATTCGTGGATACTAAAAAGGTGTGAAGTATTGTACCCGTTACTGACTGAGCTAAACTAGCCTCGACATTGCACTTAAATCGAACTTTAGCACTTAATACAGTGCCCATAAGTACATCGGGTGAGTGAATTTCGTGAACGCTTGTTGTGCAAAAAGACAACAATTATGCAGTTAGTATAGGAGTCATGCTAAATGTAGGTTACGGCTTATAGATTCAGCCCAGCGTACGATTACGCCACTAAATTCGAAATTTAGTGTACAAAACTGTTAGTCTACAATTATTTTTTTGAAGTTACTATATTTTATTCACAGTTAAACCGCAATGCTTCGAATTAACAACCAGTTACGCTATGCCGCCTGAATTTTGGCTTTTGTCGAAAACAAAGTCTAGCGCGTCTTTATCACTAGAAGTTATGCGGCTATTAGTGAAAAATGTCTATTTTAATCAAAAGCAGACAAACAAGCATACCTGTCAAACACACATATATTCGTATACTCCGGCACAAAGCATACCAAAACAACAACGAGCTTATAGTTATTTCTATAGCAACAATTTGAACAACGCTCAGTGCAAAAAAACCGTGTGCTATACACATTTATTAAAGCTTCACACTGAAAACGAGAAAATAATAATCGTATCACAATAATTTAGTCTAATTAGCATCAAATGACAGGTATGGCGGCTATAAAATGTTGATCGTTGTTTTGAGTCACGTGAATACTCGAGTCACGAGCTCGCGTCTCGTGTGGGACGGCGGACAATTTCTGTATCTGCGGCAATATGTTGTATGTACGTAGACGACATAACATGATGGAAGGCTGCGCTCCAGGAAAATGAATGCTGCTCAACTGGTAGTTTTGTAAAAGTTTATACCAAAAAACCATGCGAGTGCGGAAACGCCCAAAGTATTGCACAACATGATATAATAAGGCATAGTCATTGACCCATGCCGTGCTGCGCTTACCTAGGGATTTATCAAGTCAACGAACAGAACAATTCGTTAAATATGTAAGTCCATGATGCACCTCTATTAGCCACTATAGTTCAATTTTTTTATGAAGAAATAATGATTAGGACTTGTCCTAGGGTGCTGCGTTATACAGGTTAGCGGACTTCGCCCCATGCCCGTTTTGATATAAAACACATGTTATTTTACCTGTTTTTTTGTTATTTACTGTACAGAGGTAAAAAGCTCATAAAAACTAAGGTAACATCGCGGCTAGTTCTTGGCTTATATAATCTCGATAGAACAGATCAAATTTTTCCCGCAATACTCGTGGCCGCGTGACATAAATGAGAAATACAATTTCTATAATTCGAGCACAATTGTTAATCCAGTGCAGTTGGACTTAGTAGCTAGGCTTTTTTCAGAGATATTTTACTGGTCATATATATTTGATTATTTGTTGTATTTAACATGGGCATTTTTTTACTTTCGATGATACACTGGTGCCGACGATGTACCTCGCTGCTGTATTTTTAAACCGTGGCTTGCCGCTCTTTTCTATCTAAAGCAGAATCGTTGATGTCGGCTTGAGACTAACTAAATTAACATGGCGCCTTATGGGAGGGGGGAAAAAAGTCGGCTCCATGGGTCAGACAGACATTAAAAGAAAAACCGATTGATACTTACGCGTGTCGAAACGAATAGAAATTTTAAGTTCAAAGTATAGAACTGAACAACGCAGCACGTGCTGGAACATTAGATTTTGATAGAATCATTAATTGTGCTCGAACGCTCCACGGCGCCATTTGGTGAGATTAATTAATACCACTATTCATTCGCACACTTAGCATTATCGAATATGCTGGAATTAGAAACTGATCAAAGTAATCCAAGGCGCTTGGAAGTTGTCGCTTGAGCATGCCCTGCTTAGGCACGGGGTGAAAATTATGACCGTTGTTATACGGTTCAGTCAAACGGTAATGTCAAAGAGCATATTTCTATCGTTTCGGCATTTTTCCTAAAAATCATAATAAGGTCCATCCTTCCGGTGATTTTGTTTAGCAAGGCACTACTCTTAGCGTAAAGCTATACGAATGACAAATATAAATCGAAATATTCAAAGATAGGAGTATACGGTGAGAGCGGTACAGCACCACAAATCATTTATAGTTCTAGATAATACAAACACTCTGCGCCATCTAGAAATGTCAGATTTCCAAAAACTTCTGCGAATGCGACTTCAGTCAACGAAACAACGAATAAGCTTGTTATGAAACGCGTTTTGGCCACAGTGGAGAAAATTTATGCAGCTTACATTGACGTTTATTAACGCAAGCCTGTAAATGAGAAAACTCACAAGAAAAATGATCGTCCTGTTGTGTGTATAGCTTTATTACACTCGAGCTTAGTATACAATTCTGTTAGGAATTATGAGATATTCCTAATTTTTAACATTTCTACATAGGTCTCTGTAAGATGATGGAAGAAAAGGTAACGTGGACACCTGCCTGTGACTTTTCATTTACAACTATATACTTACAAGGCAAGTGGGTAAGTTTGGGGTATGTCGTACGAAGCCGAAGCTCCATCGCGAGTCGAGTGCGGTAAGCACAAATGAGAAATGTGTAACCATGCCCTGACAGATTGAGCCTATTTGTTCTGCAGACACCGGAACAGCTGACTGAGCTACCTGTAAAGCAAAGCATTTAGGACATTATCAAATAATTTAACACTAGTAATTATGCCAACATTTTGGCTTAAATTCAAAAGATCAACACAACGAACGAAGCACATTTGTTTTTCTTATATTACTAGATATCTGTATAAATGTGAACTTCTGGGTGATATTAGCGGTTTTACGCTAGTAGGTTAGACGCGCTCATGTCATTATTTAAGTTTGTACTGGACAAAAAAGTTCTCTTTTCTCTCAAAAGTATATACAATTCGTTTAAATGATCTATCTTTCGAAATTTTGTAGAAAGCTTCTGTTTTATTCCAATCGATGCCCAAGACAACGGATCGTTGCACGATATGAACTACTAATAGAACGTTATATACCGTCAACGGTTATCACGTGTCTAATTCAAATAGAAATGAAATGCGCCCGACTTAGCGTGCGCAATCAGAGCGGAAACAAATGTCATTATGTTCAAGGTGAAACTCTCTGGAGAAACAAACAACAGCCTTTACTAGTATCAAAATCTGTTCGCACCCTAGTGAAATATAGTTTCCGAGTATTGGTTAATATGATCAAAATCTTTGATGTTTGGTAACTACCGAGTCAAAAATGACGAGTTGTTTAACAGCTTCGTAGATTGGTCAGGACAGAAATCTATTTTTATATTCATGCATGTTCATATACGTGTACGGCCAATAAATAGACTGCACGCTCAAATCGAGGGAAAACAATGTCAGAAGAAGATACCTTTGGATGCTGAAGAACTGATGAAGTTGGTACTCAGTAAGCGTGACATAGCAGAAAAGCTCGAGGGTGCTATCATGAAGAGCTAACAATAATAAATCCCAGAAATAGCAGAATCGGTATCAACAACAGTACAAGAAGTAACAATAACAATCGAAGGAACGACAGTGGTTATCATGATGCTCCTGCGTATAATGGCATTGTTCCGAATGTTGTGAAGCAGTAGCAAGGCTTTGAGACATGGCTTCTTCATAACCTCGTCATGTCTAGTCAGTTACGGAAGCGTTACATAACGATATAACAATACGTACATTAGAGCAGTGTTTCTGTATTCCGTACGATGTATGTTTTGCTCTTGTCATCACGTTTGCTCTCACTGGTGAACGGTGCTATTATATTGTGCGAGAGCAGCCATAGTGACGGAACCTCGTAATATAACAGTGGCTGTAGAAGAGACGTCAATTTGAACAGGACATTAAGGTGAGCCCCCACTGATTCCCAGTTATGACTCGATAACGCTGTTACTTCCGATGAACTGCTATACCCAAGGAATTAATAGTGATACGATACCAGTTACCGTATATTGCTTTAATTTCCAGCCGACGGTGTGCAGAACGCAAACGCGTTATAAGCCGTAGATTCATAGGGATATTTTGAATGTAAATGCCTGTGTGTAAATATTTTTCAGCTAAGCACCATCTGATCGGCACTTCTGAGACTCATGTCTGGAGTTACGCGAAACGGTGTGTTGGCAGCCGGTATTGGAAATTCGACCGCATGGACATACTGGTTAGCTCAAGATATCGCGTTAAAGAAAGCAAAAGAAATCCATAACAAAAAAACAACACGCAAGTCTTACTACGAAAAGGATTTCAAATTAAAATAATACCGACTGAGACAAAATAATACCAAATATTCTAGGAATTTGCACAATGCTTAGTACTTTGAGTCCACAGGTATCTTACAGGAAGAATAACGTAGGTAAATTACATTTAGAACAGGTAATGCCTGACAGCAAAGAAACGGGTAGCGCCGTCTTTGAGACGGACATTAACCATATATATATATATATATATATATATATATCTAGGTTCTCCTGAATAGGTACCGAACACAGTACTCAAACAAATTGAACAAAATTAGTGCGTGAAAGCTAGTAATAACAGCTTTTATTTCCTTAATCATATCTAGGCCCATGGTCTCTACTGTGGGAGAGCTGAAGGGGGTTGAACAGGTTACTGGAAAGAAGTGTACCGACTGGGACTGATTGCGTCGCTACAATGTTGAGCAAAACAATTGGTTTCGCAGTGAATCGGCAGCTGCAGCACAGGTGGATTACACGGGCATCGATCGCGTTTGCTCAAGGACGTTACGAGCAACAGTAGTGCACTTCGTTCAGAAAACCATTACTTGGCAGAGAGACACTAAGTACATGTTTTTTAGCCGCTTGTTCGCCGTTCTCTCATTTGGATGAAATATGACATGGCTACAAACGACAGCAATGTTGAGATCGACCTTGAATAATGAGTGTTTGTTATACGAAATAATGAACTTTGGCTAAACTCTAGTTTAAATGCAAATACAAATATTTACAGTACAAACACACCAAATGTAAAATTCTATTAGAAATTTCTTCCCTGCCTTACACCTTCCAATGCAAGCTATATTTTATTTAACCTCCCATTTCCAATAAATAATTCGATATCGATATATATATCCTGAAAGAATTATGTCTAGCTAAGATCTCTCCGATTTCGCTTAACTTTCTCGTGACTCCTCTTAATCGGGACAAAGCTATGGTCAGCACCGATTAGTACGAGAGTATTACCAGGTTAACAATCTCGTGTAAAACAAGTGATCCTTACAACTACATAACGCAAATGGACAAACTGAGTCGTCTAATAGACAGCGTACTGGGTGCCTTTGTTCTACGTGGTAAACTGGTACGGTAAGAGGGCACATAGTGTAAATTAGCGGGAGAAAAGCACAACGTATGATGACGGTGAGTTGAAGACTGTGCTAACATCCTTAATATAATAGACCAACCCCCATTCGTAAATTGATTTTAGACGCGCACACATTCAGACAATACGCGCCATTTCTTCGTAGAATATCACGTCAAGCCGAGCGGTCATGTTTCCAACGCACCTGCATTTATAAGATACCGAAATAGATCTGACGAAAAGGACTATGATCCAACCTGATACTTTTGCTAGTATTATAGGCGTTGCGTCTACGAATGACAAGCATTCGCGACAGAGTAATGAATATTATTTCTATTTTTCAAAGAAATAAGGATAAATGCAAAAAAAAACTATTAGACGATAAAATTAACACAACTCCATTGTCCTAGCACCACTGGGAAAATTTTTCCAAGACATTAATGGCTATCAACTACACATGAAAAAGCCAAACATACGAAATTTACCCGAAAATGCCAGTAGCTCATTCTGTTGTTATGTGCTTTTGTTAAGTTGACTCGCGACAGTTTTTTCAGTTTACCTTCATAATCTGTCAATCTGTCCGATGAAACGAAATAGTGATGATGAGCCATAGCTTAGAGTGTTATTGTTGATGTCGGTCTTACCGCTGCATCTGCACTGGCGGTCCGGGCACCATTTGCTCTTGCATCGCCTACACTTCATACGCGTGTCGAGGCGTCATGTGATATGTTAAAATCAACAGGAGCAGCAGCAACGCAAGCAAAAATAAAAAGCCGACTTTTTTTTATTCCTTTAGCAAAAAGGCGGTAAAAGGATGCTACAGTGGCCGAAAACGACGATGATGCTAGCAACAACAACGGTGACAGACACAAGCATGAATCGGGTATCAGGACAGCCAGAATCAAGTGCAACTATAACGACCACTTCTATCACAACTACAGACGTTAACCTTCGTAGGTATTCTGTGGAAGTTAGATGTTCAACAAAAGGGTACACAGCAATCCCGATCACGTTGCTTCTACTCCCTGCCTTACTCGTTCTATACATTTGTCCCGTGATTCTTGTGATCTGCGTGTTTTTGATTCGTCCGTCCGTCCATCCGTCCGTCCCTTTGAATGTTATTTGTCTATTTGGGCTCACTTGAACGTTGGTCAACGAATGCTTCCTGTTCTTGCTTTTGCTTATTGGTCGCAGATCGGTGCCTCGTCGACAACAGCGCCGGTTCTAGGCAGGAGCAGTAGCAAGATGATAGCGAACGCGTTAGCAAACGCAACCAATCACGACGCTTGGCAATTACTTTCCCTACCACTGCCACGCGGACAACTCGTTGCCAGCTACGCGTATATCACTAGACGGGAGCACAGTCATTGGTTGCTTGCTACTAGACAGACAGATAGATGGATTGACCGTTGGATCTCCGATATTACTAAGGTTATCACAAAAAGCAGCGGTAAAAGTAGTATTAGTAGAGGTAGCTGTAATAATAAAAACAACGTTGTCTTATTTCTTCATCGTGGCCGACCGCTAGTCGGACGTCGCGTAGCTGGGTCGTCGACTTAACCGTTGTTTCGTGGATACGAAGCCATAGCAGTAGGACACGCGGCAACACCGACGCGGACGGAAACTCTGACTATAATACTGTACATGAGCCACAGCAGTTAGGAGAACAACCATCGTTACTGATACTAGTGACTGCTATTACTTCTATTCAGTGTCGCTCTAGTCGTGACGGCAATGGCGTTCCTCGTCGTAATAGACGCTGATCGGTGATGAGTAGTGACTAGTCATCGACATTGCCGTTCGCTATTGTACGCGGCGACGGCGGCAGAAGCGCTGCTTATGCAAACGTCTCCAGGCGTTTGGTCGTAATCGTCACTTCCGTCCGCCACCACTCTCCTCTCCGCTTTCCTCTGCTTCTCATTTCTCGACTTCTTTATTACCGTCTTTTCGCTATTTTCGACTTATCGACATCGACGTCAGCGGCACTTTCGCATTGACCAGCCCATATTATCCGCCAGTTTTTCCTCCCACGCAGTTACAGCGGTGCTGTTCTTTTTACTCCTGTAGTATTTATTATTTCATTATTACTACATGCTCACAAGTTCGAATATCAGAAGCAGCGAGAAAATCTTATTGGAATCGACCACCCACAAATGCCACACTTATGGTGCCGCTCTCCCACAATTATAACAACGACAGCAATAGCTATCACATCATGGGTGTCTAGGATCCAAGACTTAACTAAACGTGTAAACATGCAAATCTAAATAAAACCTCTGCGTACATACGTCAGTCTATACAGAAGACTGCCAGACTGCATTTATTTCATTTCAATCATATTCTATGTAACTGCGTAAATATTATCATTAGGTAAAGAAATTGTACGACTATTAAGCTGTTATAAGCGAGTCCTATCAAAGTGAATTACTTTTGAATTACGTGTCACTAGAAGACCAAATTTGGCTGGAGAATAATTTAGTTTTTAGTGAGAACCAAAGTTTACACTAAGGAAAATGAGTTCAGAAAAGGAAACATCCTTTCGTCCCGAAAATTAATGCTCAGCGCTCAACTCTCTGTTTCTCGAAAGCCACAGCGCGGCCGAAATTCATCGAAGGCTGATAAAGACATTTGGCAAGGAGGCCTCAAGCCAAAGCACAATACGTGCATGATGCAAGCGCTTCAAGCACAGAGATTGGAGTATGGAAAATCAGCAAGATGCGACCAGATATTGGGACCCGAAAGACAAAAATGTGTTGCCATACCCTAGGAGGCTTTTTACAAAAACGGAGTCCAAAGCCTGAGGGCTCTGTCAAGCAAAACTAGCATTGTGTATGTGGTGTATCATAGAATTATAACCCAGTTATTGGGAATACGAAAATTGGATCAAAAATGAGTCTCTCCTGATTTATCTCCAAGGCAGTTGGAACTGGTGTAGTGTCTTCCATGGGCAACTTGCGACCTTCAGTTAACGGAAAACACGCCTAGATCATACGGATTTATAGAGACAAGGCTCGATTTGATCTCTACTCCTAGTCAGAGAGGGACCAGACAGAAAAGAATGAAGTCGCTCTAGAGAAAAATTGGGTTCGGTTGCAATGTCGAGTAAGGTGCGGACCTAAACTGATGGTAGTTCTTGCACTGTACATCAAAAGCATCTGCTACAAGTATATATTCGTTGAAAATGAAACAATACAACGCGGTATCGCGAGTTCTTCAAGGGACTCATGGACCGCAAGCAGGCGATCGCCATGCCTTACTTCATGGATAGGATAAAGGAATATCCAAACTTGATTTGAACTCGTTTATTCTCTCTATTTAGGTCCGTGTAAATAGGAGACTTTCCATTCGCTAAAAAGAAAAGCTGGCGGACAGACATTTTCCACTGTCGAGTCACTTCAAGAAGTCATATATATGAATGGTACACGTGGAAACTCGAACAGTAAGTACAGGGCTGCCTAGAAGTTATTAAAGCGTTGGGGTAAGTATATGTGAAATAAAGGAGAATATTTCTAATACATTTAAAAATCATTATCCCAGCCAAACTAACTCAAACCCATTCAATTTCAAAATCCGGCGGATTCGCTTGTAATAGCTCAATATAAGCAGTAACGTTGTTTACTTATTTGACTTATACCTTATTTGACACCTTTCCCTAAACCAGCGGAGGGTACAGGTTGTAATTTAGATAATAATTATCCGTGCGTCGCAAGTTGACATCGCGCTACATATATATATATATATATATATATATATATATATATAGATATCTAGATATATATATATATATATAGATATAGAATGGGACAGAAGTTATTTGACAGTTTGAAAATCCTTATATTTTCACATCTAAACAAAAATAGACTAAATTTTAAATAAATCTATTGGCTGAATAAACCCGAACCAATCTATAGAAACAGATTTTTATACTTTCTCACGATTATCCAAGTTTCATCGAATTAACTAGTTCAGCAGCAGCAATAATCAGGTCAACCTGTATCATACGGTACCTGTATCATAGAGTTACGGAATACAAGAGTTTTAAATTGTAAGCGCCCTTTCATTGGTAAAATTCTACGCAATGACTGTATTTATAGAATTTATATACAATTAAAGCATTAATATAGCTTATGTCCCTGAGATCTGGCCACCAGAAGGTATAAACGTAGTAGAACTACTCTTCTATAGGAACTTTTAAGTATACCGCGGGGGGGGGGGGGGTAAGATCCAAAAAGGTGGTAATAATGTCTTAATCCAAGTCTAAAAAAGAAACCCATATACGCGAGTAAAACTTATAGAAAACGAATTAGAACTGATCGTTGTTAATATATTCGCATCTGACAACACAGTGTGTATATCTTATGCATAGTTCCTTCCACTGAACAACACGAACGTTCTAAAAGAATATAATATAATAGTGAGTTCGATCGTACACGTGACGCTAAAAATACAAATGATATACGGGGGCACCTGGATCTGCCAAACGTAGATAGGAATTAAGAACCTGCTCCCGAAAACAAAAACTAGCTGCCTTAAAGTAAAAATGGTACTTTTGGAAGCTTCTCTTTTACGTGCTGCCGGTTTTGTCCACAGTGTCGTGAATCCCATACGTTAATATGGCAGCAACACGACCTAGGAAATATTCTCAACATAGCTCTGTACGAGGATGAGTCCACCGAAGAAATCAGATAGTAACCGCAATTGTTTCAACCTGTTTTATTATTACAAAAAGGAGGAGTCCACGTCAACGAAAGCGAGCCTAGATAGCAATGAATGGTAGAGTTTTTGCAGAGAACCTTTTAGTAGAAGTTCTTCCGTCAGGTATATCCGGTGAACGCTGAAGTTATGAAATTTTTTAGTTCTGAGTGTCGTAGATTCTTAAGCTAAGAACATGTACAAGCAGCTCGAGAAACCCCCCAAATAAGTGTAATGATATACGATATGCGTTGCACTCTCGCTGATATTTCAATGCACGCGTCAGTGATGACCCAAGTCACTTCAGCTTTGTCATAATCCATCTAATTAAAAAAAAAAAGCTGTGCGTTTGAGGCAGGTAATAAACGTCCCATGTCATTATCTTCCGTGCCATGCAAAATGGCGGAAAGCCCTTTACCGGAATCAGTAAAGCCCTTTACCGGAAGTCAAATCGACAAGGCCTCATCTACGCGAAACAATTTTCATATTGGCCCGGACTACGTACGACTTTTCAGCTTCTCGAATGTCAGAACGATTGGGCGCAATGCACTAACCGCTGGCCACCATTTGACGTTTTCTTCTACCACTTCAAATTCGGCTCTACGACAGTCACCTACAAGAAATTGCCAAATATCAAGCTACAGAGCAGGACCTTCCCTAATTGAACAGAACAGCAGTTTTCGTGTTAGAGCTAACAATAGCCTTTATTCACATAGAGAAGCAACTGGCTGTGCCGCAAAAAACAAGATTACAAACGTTCATTTACATTCTAGACATAAATTTACCCATGTACGATAAAATCTATTGTAAAACTTTCAATTCGTAAGCGCTCGTCATGCAATGTAGGTGAAACAATGTTATGAGAATGTATTATATTGAAAACCTTGAAAACAGCTTTTAGCCAAATGCGTAATCTGGGAATCACAATATCGACAAATCTCAGACACAGTGAACATATGCCTAATGCTATGACTGGCGTCCCCAAAAGGGCAAATTGTACCCGAGGTCATTTGTAGCTAGTAAACTTTATCTTTACACGCAATTATTCAATTGTCGTATCATGCTTATATGCAGGTACACGTCCCCATCGTGAAACACAGGGTTAATTAAGGATAGGAAGCTACTCTAGCGTGCGCCAATCAGAATAGGGTGTCGCTTTAAATATAGGATTGACTATTACAAATTTGTTTCTAGAGACTTGAAATTATTGGAACATGTTTAATCGATTAAGGGACAGGTAGATGTAAATTTGGCTGAAATGTTCTTGGCTACTATAGGTAGTCACTAAAAGCGCATTTAATCTAAAAAACAGCCACAAAAATCTATATGAACCACGTGTTCGCGTGGTATGGCCTCCGGTTGACCTGCATAAGCACCTAAAGGTTGGTTCTTATTGATTTTTTGTGCGAGAAAAAAAGTACATCAGTGTGACGAAAAAGGAGTAAAGTGAAATGAAAACTATCAAACTGATAGACAGATTCAGTTCCAACGTAGATAGAATGCCGATAGGCAGTCCTTAATCAGGATGAAAATGATTTTTATCATTGTCTTAGTCGGTGTGTTGTATGAAGCTGTGGCTAAAATATTTTCCACTTTCAAATGCTACTTTGAGCCCATAAGGTAAAAAAAACGGTTTTTTACACTAGGGCATTTGTTGACCGATTGGGCGATCGGTCTTACTATAATAGCCCGAGAAATCTTTTTACAAGAAAGGCGTTTTTAATTATCCCGTTACGGTCGAATAGGTCATGGTTTCCTACATATATAGTACCTCCTAAAAAACAGACTTTTGTAATGCTTACGGTAAAAGGCATAAATTTTAACCGTACCTTGCTAGAATAGAAACAGCGTGTCTCCGAAAGATGTCATCAAATACTTCGGGCCATGCACCAACTCATACTTTTTGAGTGCCTGTCTTATTATGAAATAGTTTTTAAGTTATATTTTTAAATTCGTGACACAACAAACCTTCGTTCCGTGTGGTTGCAATTAAAACCTCAAGCATTTGATTTTGTGGCCAATATGTATAGTATAAAATAGGTTTAAGGTTCGCATTAAAAGGAATATCGAAGGGGCAGCAGGAGTTGTCCCTGTGCTATTTAAGGCAAGCAACAGATTCCGAACTAGACAACATTCTGAACTAGATAACATATTGTAAACGAACATGGTTAATCGTGTTTGGAACGTTTTTTATCTTATTCTCCTTACGAGCAAGTAAAGTTCTTACTGCAATATGCACGTGTTAGATAATTGTAAATAGCAAAACCATTGATTCGAATCTGGATATCCGGCAGTTTCAACGGAACGCTACATGTTCTTTTCGGCCAATTGGAAAAGGATTCGATTGTTTTTCCAGAAAGATCGAGCT